GTTTTGAGTTTTCTTTCATTAGGACGCAGAGTTTTCTCTATTTATTGTCGAACTATGTATTAGAACTTAATTGGAAACGTAAGAAAAGTAAACAATAGATAAGATAGTTTGATTTTGATAAAAAAAAGATTTGTCACTCGATTAACACGTTTAAGACTCTTAGGCCCGATTACACCAACGTTACTTTGATTTTAAGTGAGGCTTAAAACTCTCTCTGTCTCTGTCTCTTTTTTTCTGTAAAATGAGACAGAGCGAGTTTTAAGTTTCGCTTAAAGTCAAAGTAACGTTGGTGCAATCGGACTTTAATCAGTTAGTGCGCCATATTGGAACGTGATGTCATGAGCGAGAAATGACACGTTGAAGTTTCTTACATGCTATTTGTACCTAAAAGAGAAAGAATTCGGATAAAATAAAATAATAAAATTGCCTTAAAACATATTAAATACTTATAAAAAATGGACCGAAACTATCCTTGTCTTCCTCCTTTCAACAATCGGTAAATAATCGTAAAAAGTACATGAAGTGAAAATATGTATAAATAAGCTTTGAAGATTATTTTCTGACTGTCAGAAGGGATAAGGATCGTTTCGATCCATTTGTACGAGTGTTTTAAAACGAGCTTATTATTTTATTTTATCTAAATTCTCTGTCTATATAAATGACGTTAAGAAACTTGTTATTTCTCGTTTACGATATCACGATATCAACATAGCTGCTAGTTCAGGAGTCTAATTATTAGATACAATATCAAAATTTTCGTATTCTGTGTACAGGAAAAATTATGAACCGCCAACTTTGGGAGAAGGTTTTAAGGAAATAGTGGAAATCAACTTTGTTCCGAATTTCTGTAATGAGCAGGATCGAAGGCTCTATGAGATGTATTTACTCGAAAATTAAATCCTCTAGATTAGTTAAAAGTACTTAAACAAATAAATCTTGCATGATATAAATTGAAATCCGCCGCCGAATCTATTTTTAATTAATATAGTAACACACTAGCAATAAAAATATTTATTAGATTATTCATTGCGGTTTATTTCAACTACCTATAATCAATTATTTATTTGATTATTTATTTATTTAATACAGGATGCCTATAGAATGTCTCAGAGAAAATGAATTTCACAGAAAATGAATTATTATTTTATGCGACTCTACAAATTCATAGTATATAAGTCTTTATTTTTAATGGTTCGCGAAAAAATAATTAATTTTTAAATTTTAAGGAATAATTTCACGTATATTTATTTATTTCCGTCAGGTTTGGGACATCTTGTTTAAACTTACTTTTCTGTGTAAATTATTAATTTATTGATGATTACAGAGTTCTTTTTATTTGATACAATTGATTTGAACTGCGTTCGATATCGATTCAGATATATATGCTTAATTATCATAATATGTCTACTGGCTATGACCTTCTCAATTTTAAAAACTAACATAGAGTGGAGTCTGGCATTCAATTACATATTATAAATTGTTGATAAGAATACTGTAGGAAGAGAGAAGATAGAGAGGAGCAGTTAAATTTTATATTCGATGAAGGTCACTGTTCTTTATCTGTAAACAGCAGGACTTTCTTCGAACCGGGATTAAATCCTCGACCCCAGTAGAGGGTTTTCCCCCTCTCATTTTTCAATCGCAATTGTTAGGCATCCCCTAGTTCTTCGATAGAACGGTTGATTAGGCCACGTGATGTAGCAAGAATAGTGCGACGCTCATTGCGGACTCAGTACCCGCGCAGACGTCGTCGCGACGAGTCGTCTTCCTCGCTGTTCTGTTGTACGTGTGTATGCGTGCGATCTTGTGCGTGATGAATTTGTGAGCAGGAGCAAGGTGAAAAATCCACTCGCATGTGTGACGAGGAAGAATAAAGTGAGTACAACACAAGCTTAAACAGGGAATTCAACCGGTCGAGCAACATCTGCGGTGCTTGAGAATGATGAGGTGGATCAGTCCCTATTATTAATCCTCAATTTCCGTGGAGTCTTCCAAAAATAATTCTGTCATTTCTTGCCTTACTACTCCGGCACATTTCTCCTCTATGAATCGCGGAGTAATGATTCAGAGCGTACTTTATATTATATACGGTATACATTATATACGGTATACCCAATCATGATATAAATTTAATAAAATATATAAACCATTCTAAATCATTGCACTATAAATCTTAATTGCATAAAATGTGTATAAATTTAATTATTATAGACTTTTATAATGCAGTTTTACATATTTATGCCTATATATGAAATTATTAAACTTTGAAAACGAATTTTAATAAGAAACAGATATTTATTTACCAGAAGATCCGAATTCGTAATTTGTTAGTATTTCTCGCCGCTATATGTTAGATTATATGACGATCTTTCTTTTCTAAATAAATAACTTTTCTTTCTTCTTTGATACTCTTAAATCTCAATACGGTTTTAATTATGATGCAAAAATAAATGAGGAAGGATAATTTAAAACATTTTGTTTCTTTACTTTTTATACTTGGAGAGGTTTGGAGAAATCAACTCTAAATTTTTTTAGGAAATTATATTCTTAAGAAATGAAGCGCTTAATACATATTATCTATCTCCATCTATTGATCTTTAACATAATAAATAATATCTATAGTTAACAGAAATATTTAAAAAATTATTTTCTTTTTTTACAAAATAAAGTAACCAATTATTATTATTGTCAGAATGATTAACATTACTATAATAGTTTCTTTTAATATTAATTAATATTACTATTATTATTATTCATTTTACTATTGTTCCTATTACTATTGCGATTAAAATTGACAGAAATTATATGCAAATTATGGAATTGTTTGAGCATTAAAGATCTAGTTTGACTGTTTAGTACTCTTATTTCTGATTTGTTGTATAACGTTACTATTGTTACTATTGTTATTGCTGTTATATCGATTGGAAAATGTGAAACACCTGGTTTGGAACAGCCGGCATATTAATTATGCTTGTACGCATAGTCATTGTTCGAGCGTAGCTCGTTTCTGCTTGGTATCTTTCGTTCATTGCGTATTTTACGTCATGACAAGATTACGTCACGAGACAAGTCATTTTGCAAATGATATTCATGCTCGTCACAATACATCTTGAACACGTCATTGTCCACCGAGTGTCTCAAAATATCCTACGCGATGCACGCCAACACCAGAAGGAGGAATGCTCACATTGTATTGATATTAAGCTTCTTTGGCATTTTATAATATTAAAATGCTTAACATTATGAAAACAATTGGATATTTTTATTTGAATGTTTTAATTTATATTTAAATTCATACACCATTTCTGAATTGCAAAAGCTTTGACCATGATGACTGAATAAATTAAAAAGATGATCAAATAAATTATAGAAGTGAATAAGTTAAGTTGAGAAATACTTGAAGATATAATTCTATTAATTCAAATATATATTTTAATCAATAACTCTCTCTTACGAAAAATAAGATTGTCTTTATAATAATAATTTAAAATAATGTTAATAAAGTTTTAATATTTTTGACGCACATGAATTTTTCTGTGTCGTGCATCTGAGAAAATTATTTAGAAAATTATATAGCATGAAAAGAAAAACAAAGTTTGTTGAAATATATGTATCTAAAAATTTAGCTAGATAAAAAAAGGAAAATATTTTTGTTGAATTAATAATAATTCAACAAAATTATTAAAATAATTGTAAAAAAAAACAGAATTAAAATAAATAGAATGTAAGTATAATGAACAGTTCTAGTTTGCATGTGCTATATTATTTTAAAGGTCTAACAAAATTGTTGACCAAAACTACGTATTTTGATTATTGTATCTATGATAAATCTAATTGCATGAAAATTTTTATGAATATACTTCGCAGAAAAACGATCGCGACATTCGAAGCTTTCTTTGCAATTTTCCATTTGACGGTTACGAAAGTTATATAATCGAGAAAAAGCTCGAGGGAAAGATATTAATTTTTTTCTAATTTACCTCTGTCTATTCTGTATCTTTATTTTTTTATATAAATGAATATATTAAGGAAAAAAGATGCTGTTATATATAAGTTTAAAATTCTTAAAAATTATCAATCTGTAAATTGAAATAATGAAGAGAGTGCGAAGGAAAAACATTTTTAAGATAGTCTTAAAATTCTCAAGATTTTCGAAATGTTCAAAATTCAACGCTCTTAGAAACTTGTTTTGATTGGAAACAAAATTATTGTACATATGTATACGATAAAAAATGGTTTTAATATAATATCTAAAAATTCAACTAGCCACAGATTTGAAAACAATTTTCTTAGACCATAAATCAAAATAATTATGTAGTGCGCTCAAATCGGAATTGTTTATTACTTGAGTGTCCTACAAAATTATTTTAATAGTGCAACAAAATTATTTTCAAATCTATCTAGCTAAATTTTTAGATATCTCAGCAAAATCTTCTCGTGTACAATGGAAATCTCAAATCATTTCGAAGTTTCTAAGAATTTTAAATTTGGAACTGTCGGAAGTCTTGACGTTACCTAAAAAATACATTTTTTTTCTTTCATAGCATTTTATTATTCAATTTTATTATTTTAATTTATTTTATTATTTCAATTCGCAGATTAGGCGACAATCTATGTATATTCGAAACGATTCTATGAGCCACTAAAACTCACTGGCCTTTACACATTAGAATCGCACGTGATCGCTTCTAAATGTCGATAAGCTGATACAAAGTTGTTTGCTATGCATATCGCGCTCATCTGAGTTGCCTATTCATTTATTATTCAGCGTCTATAATTTTTTCTGGTTTTAAAATTTTAGTTCTTTTTTCTGGATTCTTTCGCAATTCTTCATATGCGGAAAGACATTCATGAGAACAATTATCTTGATTCATGAACAATTGTCGTGAGAACTCGATTGCGAATAAGATTACAAAAGTTTTTGAAATCTTCGACTCTTTCAAGAACTCCATATTCTCACATTCATATTTCTCGATTCTTCTTCTTGATAAAATCGCTCTTGTTACATTTCACAGCTTTTTAAGATTTTTATTGGATTACTTTAAAATTTTATTTACTCTGGAATTAATAATTAATAATTAATAATTTATTTTCGTTCAATAAACAGCATTTCAATACTGGTTAGATATTCAAATATCGAAGAGAAAAAAAATTTCTAAAAAGTTGGGAGACTGTTCTCTGTAAATACCGAGAAAAGTCGAGAATATATATTTTTACCGCTGTAGAGGCTCGCTCGTTTTGCATGAAACACCGTGAGTCATGATCGGACTCTGTGTTTCAGTAAAGATTGCATATCGTGCGTCGCTGAACAATTGACCTCAACGTCTCACGAGTTAAACTTTAGTGGAGAATTATTAACACACAACACGCCTTTGTCTTGATGCATTTAATTTTTTCTTAATTGTCTTTTTAACGACGCTGAATACGTCTTTTTACGCATTCGATTCTGATAGTGATACGTTAATCGAAAGGTCATCTTTGCTGTAATACTGAAATATGTGATATTTAAACGAGAAAATTTTATACAAATTAATGAAATAATCCAAAATAATTGACAATGTTGATTGATTGACAAATATAAAATCTCAGTAAACGAGAATGGATTAAAATGGATTGAAATTTTTAGTTTATTGAATGCGTATTTAAAAATTGTATTTTCTATCCAAAATTTTGAATTGCAGGATTCATTTCTAAAAACTGAATTTATTTTTGGATCGAAAGACATAGAAAATACGTTTCATGCAATTTCTATAAATGAATACAAAAGCATAAAACATTGAAATGGATTTAGATTTTCGGAAGTACGCATTCGCCATTCGCGAATAAATCTTTTTTAAATCATTTTATTCGATTTTGTTTACTAGAATAAAAATAATTTGATTTATTGTTGTAATGAACAAATTTTCATTTTAATATTTAATATTAAATTGATAACTGGATATTGTTAAGTTAGAAATTGCAAATTTATTTTCTATTTCTTTAACGCTTTATATTTACAATTATATACCTAAATTATATACCTAAATTATATTTATATAAATATAAGTATAAACTATATAAAGCGTGTTTCTGTGAAAGTAGCAGAAATTAAGTTTACAATATTTAGCTTAATGATATCCGATGATAAATATTAAGTGTTGAAATATGTATTTTAAATCCGAAAGATTAAAATATGATAAATACTGTTATACGTCAACACGTATCTTTCGAGACATTTTTCATGTTTGCTATGTTTATTTACATTCCACTTTAAGTAATGTCAAATAACATCTACTCGGTTTATAAACGGTTCTTTCGGATTGAACAATGTATTTAGGTATTGAATCAATTGTAAATAACTTCCGACGCTGTTCTATCATATTATTCTTACATACAGTTTTTGCTGTTTTTGTAATGTCAAAAGAAAATGCATATATTTATGTTTATATGACAGCCTTCTTGTTCGAGATGATTGATGTTTTACTCGAGTGAATCCTCTCTCGAATCATGATTTGAATCGGTGATTCGAGAGAGGAGAGAGAGAGAGAGAGAGAGAGAGAGAGAGAGAGAGAGAGGAGAAGGATTATAAATTTTAATCTATTTCAGGAACAGAGGCGTGCAAAAAAAAAAGATTACCCATGTGCAAAAATAATTTTGCTTCAGAAATATATACACATATGTATAAGGGATTCCCGACAGTCTTGGTTTACGGTTCTGTCTGGTGAACGATTCTGTGACATGCTGTGTGAACGGTTCTGCATGCCGTCTATTAAAGAAACGGTCACATTATATAACTCCTCGTCCATGACCCAGCCAATTACTTTTTCTTTAACCATTAATCTAACACATAGCAAAGCACGACGTATGCATGCTGTTGTTCTTCCGCGGAATTTCGGACTCGACTGCGTTAATGCTTGCTTCTGGATTAATCCATGAAAGTTATATTCCACATACAGTAGATAAAATGCTTGAGATAAATAACAACGATGTAAAGACTCTTTAAATATAACATAAATAAACAAACAAAATAAACGGCGAAAACGATTTTTAAACATATATATGCGCCGCTCCGTATCGGTTTTCATGTATCTTCGCCTAATATTTGTAATTAAATATTTTATAATTTATTGACTCTTATTTCGCCGTTTATTTTGTTTGTTTACTAATCTCTAAACTAAGCCGGAATCATTCAATAACCTTCAATGAAGAAATAAAGAAATAGAAATTATGTACTCTTGTAATTTCGATCCTGACATTTTTTTTTATTTGTTATATAACTTTTATATAGATTTCAAAGTTTCTCAAAATTATTGAAATCTATATAAAAAAAATTTTATATATGTGGATTCTCTCTCTCTCTCTCTCTCTCTCTCTCTCTCTCTTTCTCTGAAATAGTCTAGATTTTAAAATTGTTATGTAAATTGCAGAGTTTTTCAAAACTTCTGCATAATTTTCAAAAAATTACTTAGATCTTTTATAAAAATTAGAATACTTTTTAGAACTAAAAGATTGCGTTTTTAATAAAATTTTTTCATACTTACGTTAATTTTAAAATAATTTGAAATTTTTAAGATTTTTTATTTTATAATTTGTAAAGAAAACTTGTAAAAAAATCTGAAAAAATTTAAGGTATTTTGCAGAAATTTTCATAAATTTAAAATATGAATAATTCTTAAAAATATGAGCTAATATAAGAATTTTTTTCATCATCTTTATTGAATTATTTATGAATTATTAAATTTCAACATAATTGCACATGCTGTCTGTTTTTAATAACATGTATTCAAATATATGTACATTATTGTGTAATTATTGTGATATAAAGTACAGTGTGAGTGCAAAAAGTATTCTTAAGAAAATATTTAAAAAATACCATATTTTTAAAGAGTAAACATTATCCAGCGAGATACGATTCATTGAATTGATGTGCGAGAGAGAGAGAAAGAGAGAGAGAGAGAGAGAGAGAGAGAAAGAGAGAGAGAGAAATAATATCATTTCTTACAAAAATGTTATAATATTATTTCTTAAATTTAATTTTCTAATAATCTAATCAATCTTTCAAATATTTTTAGAATTTTGTGGACATCGGAGTGATATTGGATATAAAATATTGACTTTGATATTGAAATTTCCCAATATTTGTTTCTCTCTCTTTCTTCCTCCTCTCTCTTCAAAGAATTTGTTATTTCAATATTTTCTGTTGCCAATATCCTAATCCTTATTTTTAATTCTAATTTTAATTTTATATTTTTGAATTTTTAGTAACTTAATTTTAGTTCCAGTTTCTTCAATTTTATGTATAATTTACGAATAAAAAGACATACGATTGGCGGCTAATTAATGACTAGCGTATCAACTTCGTTATTATGTTAGATATTGTGTTAGTTATTATGTTAATTATAGTATAACGTTAAAATTGTACGACCTTCTGTGTTATTGGGAAAGTGACACAGCAGGCAAATAAATTGCGTGCAGCCAGATAAGGCGGGGACGGTGGAGGCACAAATGATACAGACTTTCTTTTCAAATGCAGATACCAAACACGTACCCGAAGAGTCATATGGATCCTGCATCGATAAGTTAATCGTTCTCATTCCATTAAAGCAGACCTCGTCAGTTATCAATGCGCACACGTTTTTTTACCTACTACGGCAACAGATGGAACTGCAAAAAGACCATTTTTCACTAGTAAAGGAAGAAAAAGACTCAGTAAGTCGTGATTATTTTTAAAATTGTAAAAACTTCTCTTCAAAGTAATAGTAAAAAATCAATGGAAACAAATTGTTACTTTTGAACATTATTATTTATATGCAAAATAATTATTATTAAAAAAAAATTATTAATTATTATTAAGATTTATTTTATTATTATAAATAACAAAACTAATTATTGTTAATAATATTGTATAATAATGTAATAATAATGTTTAATTATAACATTAAATAGAGGGTGGTTATCGATATCAACATATTACTTTAGATTGGACAATATTTCTTAGATAAAATAAATATGTTAATAATACAAACTAACAAATGTTTTCAATTAGATAATACAGCAGTTTTTATAATGTTGTTTTCAATTGTACAATAATTAACTTTTTTTGTAAGATAAGTAAAAAACGAGTATCTGTCAACAGGCCCCAAAACTGATGCAGTAGTCAGCAATGTCATATATTCCCCCATTTTTTTTTTATAGAAATCATATACAAAATATTTACAGGTGAATGTATATATGATTTTTTAGAAATTGTTTACTTTAATAAAACGTTGATTTATAATAGTGCACACCTACTTTATTGGTTTGAAAGATTTAACGCAAGAGTTTCTTTTTTGAGACTTTTTTCTCATAAATACGATTGCCTTCAGTTCCAATATTACGTAATACTACAAAGATTAAGTAGCTTATATGGTCTGTTCTACAGACAGATGTACCGGTTTATGCCACACTTCAATTTTTTATTCCAGATTGTATCATAAAAAAATAAAAAAGGAAAAATATAAATAAAATTGATTTATGAAACTACAAACATATAAAAATACAAACATATAAAACTATAATATTATCCAATAATATAACCACTATTATTAATATAAATGTAATGTTATTAATATTATAGCCACTATTATTCAAATTATACAATTTGCAAAAGAAAATTGTACAAATTTTATTTTCAGATTTGTAGAATTCGGTTTTAGCTGTTTCTATATAGAAATAGTAACAAGTCACAAATATATGAATTATGGATTTTTGCTCTCTTTAGTCATCTAAACAGATCATTTTTTTATCATTATTGATAAAACTCAATAATTAGTTCCAAGAAATAAGGAAGTGTTTTTTTTAAGAGATTTATATCAGCAGATATCGGCGACTTTTCTCTAGTAAAAATAATTCTAATTTTTCTAATTACATTCATGTAACTGATGTCTTTAACAGATAATAATAATCACTTATAACACTTTCCAGATTCACGAACATCTTGAAAACTATAAGGAGGCACATGATAATAAATCTCAAGAAGCGAAAGATGTTTACACCAGTATCGATGACTGATATCTTTTCTACCTATAAAAAGACTTTTTTGAGAATTTGTAATAAGAGTTAAGTCTGTTGATTAATCGTAGAAAATAGTGATATTTGTAAATAGCTGATACAACGAGATATGTGAAGTGTTCATTTCAGTCTAATTACGATTGCGTGAAGAGATTGGACTGCATGGATGACGATTTATAAGGATTAAGAGAGTGTTATATAATCATTGATCTAACTAGAATTGTTAATCTAACTTGAATAAATTAATCGATCGTTTTCAATCGTGGAAGTGGCAGCTCGCGGCAAGTTAATGCCGCGTGTAAAGACCGATGGATTCAACAAAAATCAAATCGAAGCCGAATCCGAGGGAGAAGACAAACATCGTATCGGTGTTGCTTTGGTGGTGAGTTGTTGAATTTTTCTGAATCATCATGTTTTCTTACGATTCTCCTTTATCTTTCGTGGAATATGGAGGAGCCCAAGGAACACACAATAGTCAATAAAATATCAAAATGATTTATTTTGATGTTTAAAGTCAATAAACAGTCAAATTTTGTAACCAAAAATTATTATTTTGATTTTTTCTTTACTTGGTGTCTTCCTTGGCAGTCATAAGCCTTGGATATTCGAACGTTGACTAATTGAATATCCAAAGATTTCTTTCAAATCCTTAGAATTACGGATAGCTATAGCTATACGAAAAGAACTTCTGATAAAGTATTTAAAAATTGAGCAGATATATATACAGATCTGAAAATAATTTTATCAAAATAATTATGCAGTATATTCAAATGGTTATTAGAATGTCAGAATTTTTTGCAGCGTTGCTCATCACGCTTAAGATTTCTACGTGATTATTTTTATGGTTGAACAACATTATTTTCAGAATTGTTTCCAGCTATATTTTTAGATAACTTCAACAAAATCATTCTTTCTGCGTGGATTAAACCAGAAACACAAAAAACATAATAACCTTACGTTCTCTACTGTGATTGGTTGATTCATTTACTGCTTACGTCTCTATTGCCTTTCGTTTTTATATATATGGTGGACATTAAACATCAAGACAGTTAACTAAAGCGCAGGCTTACAATTGATCACAATTACTCCTGTTATTCTGTATTATCTTTAATCTTTCGCATGCATTCGAAGTTATACAATATACTATATATAAAAGTTTAGTGATTTAAATAAATATTTAGGCATCTGTAAATATTCTTGTATTTGAAAAGTTTTTATATTTAACATATTATTTCAACTTTTCAATTCATATTTAATGTCTGAATCATAATTATTGCATTAATAACTATTTAAATACAAAACAGTCGAATTGAAATAACGGGTGATGTATATTTCAAGGATGATTTTTTATCTCAAATTACTTCTTATCTTCACGCAAATTTACCTTGTTTTGATAGCAGTAAGATATCTGATATCTAATTTACACAAATTGATGAATCAGGTGGACCATTAGTTTATTCAAGACAGGATACAAGAAAGCTTTAGAAATAGAAGACTTATTTGATCCTCTGAAAGTTGACAGATCGACATTCCTCGGAGATCGATTAGAAAAGTAAGTATAGAAATTATGTATAAAAAAAGATGAGAAAAAGAAGAAGAAAGAAGAAAGAAAATGTTCACAGAGTTAATTCTCTTTCTTTTGCGTTGCTTTTTTTATAAAAGCATAGGAATTATTATTATTAATGCATTGGTGTATTTGCAGACGATGGAACATCGAGCTGGAAAATTCGAAAAAATGGAAACGCAATCCAAGTTTGTTAAAAACTATTTTCCGCACATTCTTGTGGGAGTACACTATGCTGGGAATAATACAGATTCTCAACGAATTTGTGATAAGGTAAAATTAAACACTGACCGCCATCGCTAATTTTTATAAATCTTTCGTCCTTCATTTTTTTTCGTAGGAAAACGTTTTTCTCTTTATTTGGTCGATAATAAAGTTGACTTTATTGCAATAATACTTATTGTAATAATAATTTATTATTGCAGTATTGATTTTTAATTTGTAATTGGAGCTATTTTTCAAGATAAATTGAATACAGGTAGCTCAATGTTTTAAACTTTAATTTTTTTATGTAAGAAATAATAATTTTGTATTGAAAATAATCCAAAAAAAATTCTTAATGTTTTTTATATTCACATTTGACTAAAAATGTAGAACATTGTTTTCAACGTATTATCACTTGCAAACATATTACATGGAGCGATAACATTTCAAACAAAGTGGAAAGGTATTTGAAGGAAGATACCTAACATTAAATATCTAAAATTAAAAATAACTATATCTTATTGTTCTTGCTTAAGCATGTAACAGTAATATATTGTACTATATACATATTATAAATATATTGTATATATAATAAATAATAGATAATAATCAGAATAGAAATAACATATAGTAATATTACAGTACAGGTAAATAGGTATAATAGTATGAAAATATAACTAATATAATAATATAACACAGGTATAACCAGGAATGTGTTTAGAGAAGAAAGAACTTAAAGTTAGGACTTTAACTCTGGGAAACGGGGGAGAGTAGATTTAGATTATAAACTGTTGGACTTATTTTGTTTTATATTATTATTTTAGTTATTTTAATTGTTTACTAGCAAATAAATTAAACATATTTAATTTACTTACTTAATTTTTTAAAATTGTAAGTAACTGATTCTTCAAACTAAAGAACTTAAATTTATAATAACACTACTCATTTTGGATTATCAAAAAATCTTTCTATAACATTGATCTCCAATTCTTTCTTTCAAAATTAATTTTTTATATATACTGAAGCATAAGTCCTCCATATGTATAATTTTATTGTAATTATCTCTGTTCTTCTTCCTTCTTTAAGATTTTATGGGAGGCCACAATCCACTTGTCCTTTCCTGGTTACGCTCATGTATAATAATATAATTATTGGATATTATAATTATTATTCAAGATATGGAATGTAGTATAATAATGTTCATTATTGAATATTGACACACATAAGTGTAACGCGCGACACTCATTCCGTAGGTTAGGTACGCCATTGTTGCTCGGTGGTCTTTTGCGCTACTTCCGGAAGGATTCAGTTGAACCGTATGAAAATGCTCTATGGTTTGGAGCTGGTATCTGTATTGCAAACGGCGTGAACGTGATAAGCGGCAATCAGGCGCTCTTTGGCGCTTTCCATGTGGGTGTCAAAGTTCGCGTGGCTGTATGTTCCGTGGTATACAGAAAGGTTGGTCACTCAAAAAAATATAATTGAAAAAATTTGAAAGTGTAATGTATAAAGTGAGAGGAAACAAAAAGTGAAGGTAAAAGTCGTGTAAGACGAACTCTATAAGTCTTACTTTGAACGTTTTCGTTCAGCTCTTTAAAGTAAACGTTTTTTACCACATGAGAACGAGGAATAGAAACAAAATAACTATACAACAAAAGCCGAAATAAATCAGTTTTTTTATATTCTTTAAATTTTCTAATAAAAAATTCTTCGAATCTTTTAAAAGATTAAACATTACCAATTTTAACACATAATGTAACAAAAAAATTTGTTTATAAAGTTCTGTGTTATCAAATCAGCATATTTAAAAAAAAACATAATCTGGTGAATATAGAAACATTCTAAAAACATTTTCATCAATTATTATTTTATAATATTTTAATCTTTACACAAAATACTTTGAAAATATTTTATAAATATTACAGTACAAAATATTTGTGAATATTTTCTATCGATATAAATATTTAAATATAATATATCGAATATATTAAATTTCTTCTGCGATATAATTTATCAGCGTATTGATTTCTAGATTATGTAACAGATATTCTTCTTTTGTTTCGCAGGCTCTGCGTCTGAGCAAAACTGCATTGGGCGAGACAGCACCCGGAAAAGTAATTAATCTAGTGGCCAATGATGTCAATCGATTCGATCTCGTCTCCATCGTAATTCATTATATGTGGTCGGCACCTCTCTCGGCCCTGATCGTGGCTTATATTCTCTATCAGCAGATCGGCTATGCTGGCCTCATCGGCATCGCTGCAATCTTTGTAGTCGTACCAATCCAATGTGAGTTTCGTATCATCGATAAATTTATATAAAAGCTCTATTTTTAAATCATCATTAATGTAAGTAAGAAGAAGCACCAATTATAGTCGAAGTTAAAAAGGGGAATAATAATTTTATACGTAATGTTCTTTCAAATACATTTTACTTCAGATAACTGCTGATTATTTCTGGACTTGAAACACAATCAAACTGATTAATAATAATCCCATAAATTAAATACGATCGTCGATTCGAAGAACCTTTAAAACTCTATTTTTTTTAATTTATGGAAAATAAATGTAAAATATTGCATTGTAAATCCGGGTAGACTTTTTATGCCATTTTACAAGCTATTTTGTCGCAGATGTTCATCAATTCTTGGGATTTTAGCTTACGCTGGCAAACTGACGTCAAAGTTTCGTCTTCAGACTGCTATCAAGACCGATGAGCGGGTCCGATTGATGGACGAAATCATTTCCGGGGTGCAGGTGATCAAAATGTACGCGTGGGAAAAGCCATTCTGCGCTATGGTGGAGCTGGCGCGTAAGCTCGAACTTCGAGTGGTCACCAAGAGCTCGTACATCCGCGGCATTTACATGACCTTCAATCTTTTCACAACTCGTATGGCGCTCTATTGCACCCTCATCGCTATGCTGATGTTCGGCGACAATCTGACTGCTGATAAGGTCTTCGTCGTTTCGTCCTATTTCAACATTCTTGCACACACTATGACTGGCATGTTCGTGCGCGGCTTCGCTGAGTTGGCTGAGTGTATGGTAGCTATACGTAGGCTCCAGACTTTCCTTATGTTCGACGAGTTCCAGGGCAGTAATGTTGTTGTCTCCAAGGCGTCTGCTAGCTACGCCAATTCAGATTTGAAGCGGTTCTCCAAACCGGATCTGCCCTACATTGACGATGATGATGTGGATTCACGTGGAGAGTATCTGGACGAGAACAACGACCGCAGAAAGCAAAATGGTTCATTGGTTGTTTCCAGCGACTTGTTGAAAAACACTGCTAATTTTGTTGAAGGTAAAGAATTTCAGAAAAGCATATAATTAATACTTTATACAAATATAACATATATAAATGATATATAAAAATATTCAAAGAATATTTCAAATCTGACATACTTTAGAAGTTAAAAAATGGAATTATTTATTTTAATAAAATAATATTTATAAGATATTAAATAAAATTACAAATTTTTACGACAATCTTTTAAAGGTCTTTCTGGAGATATGTATTATCTAAAATTTAAAAAAATCTTGTGAGACATATTATATTGCTTGAATATTTCCAGCATTCTTTTAACATATTCCCAAATAGTCTAACTTGAAATAAAACTATTACTATTTAGAAAACAAATCCATATACAATATGAACAATTGGGCCATTAATATAATCAACGTTACTGCCAAGTGGGACGAGAGACAATCGGAGAACATTCTGGAGAATCTGAATCTGGAAATAGAAAAAGGCAAGCTATATGCGGTGATCGGCATGGTGGGTAGCGGCAAGAGCTCTTTTCTGTCCGCGATTCTCGGAGAAATCAGTCTCATAAAAGGTCAAGTGAAGATCAACGGCGGCATTAGCTACGCCAGTCAGGAGACCTGGGTTTTTGGTGCTACCGTTCGACAGAACATACTCTTCGGACAATCCTACGAGCGCCAACGGTACCAGAAGGTGATCAAGGCTTGTGCCTTGGTACGCGACTTCAAACAGTTTCCGCAGGGCGACCAGACTGTTGTGGGTGAACGAGGCACCTCGCTGTCCGGTGGTCAAAAAGCTAGGATCAATTTAGCTAGAGCTCTATACAGACAGTCGGACATTTACTTACTGGACGATCCTTTGAGCGCAGTGAGTGATTATCAAACGAGTTAATAATTTACTCTTCCAGGCGTAATTGTATCATTGTTCACTACATTATAAGCTTCACTGTATGTGAAAAACAACAACACATTTTACTGGAATTAAATAATTTTATATTTTCTGTATAATTAGCGGGATCTTTCTCTTTTTTGATGAACAATAATTCCTTTATAAGACATAATGTTCCTAGAATTGTTATATAAATATTATAAAAAATAAATAATAGTCATACCACTTTCTAGGAATATTATATGTTTAAGGATGATGTAGAATTTTGATTATGAATTCTGATTAAAGACTCTGTTTGAAATTCCAGGTTGACGCACATGTTAGCAAGCATCTGTTTCAAGAATGCATTCAGAGATATCTTGCTGGAAAAACAAGAATCTTGGCCACGCATCAGTTGCAATATATAAAGGGAGTGGACGCCATTATATTGCTCGAACAGGGAAAAATGAAGTACTTTTCGCATTATCAGGATTTATTAGAGTATCGACCCGAATATGGAGTACTCCTGGCAGCGGAGAATGAAGCGATTGACGATTCATCTTTAGAAAAAAGTATAAACATACGACGACAGTTTTCTTCTTCAAGTAACAGAGTAAGTGCTGCAAATATGTATAAAATTGTGAAGAAGAGAGAAAAAGAGAGAGAGAGAGAGAGAGAGAGAGAAGGGTTTGACACAATATAATTTTCAATTTTTTATATTGTTTTTATAATGTTTTAAAGGTTTGGAATTGATAAACTAATTCTTCATAGTAATAAATAATATCTAGATAACAAAAAGAAATGTTACTAATATTACTGAAGATAAAATTTCTTTAATAGAGTCGAACTCCGGAAACCAGTAGCGGCGGCACTGATGACGAAGAGGAAGACGAAGATACTGAAAAATTGAATGACGGTCTTGAGAGAACATCACGTGGCCTGGTTAAAGGTCCTATATTTATCAAGTTCTTCCAAACTGGTGCCAATTTGTACATTGCTTTTACCGTTCTGTTTCTGTTCATCATTACGCAATTTATTGTCAGTCTCAACGACTATTTTGTGCCTTTCTTGTGAGTATTTGTATTACTGGAAAAGTGTTTAATTGATTAAGAAATCATTTACTGTATAAACAATTATTTATTACATATAATTTTTAGATAGATTAAAGTATTTAAAAACAATTCACGAAAATATTTTAAAAATATTTCTATGTCGCCCATATCATGTCGAAAAATATTTGCGAAAATATTTTAAAAAGATTTGCATGCAAATGTATTTAATAATACATTTTGAATAATACATATTAAAATTTCTTAAGAATATTTTACTTAAATACAATACTTTACTTAAAAAATAACTTTCAGAAATTATCAGGTTTTGGAAGTAATTTTTATAGAATTAAATTTTAGAACTAAAAGCTCAAAGATATAGAACTAAAAATATTTGCATATTTAATACATGAAATGAAGGCGTATATCATATTTTTCGCCACTTTAGTTACTTCGTTTAATAATATAATTTTTCTTCTCGACTAAACTCCTCCAGAGCCAATTTTGTGGAAACGCGAAATTACGAAGCCAAGCACTTTATTCTGAACCAAACGGAAGACATTTTCGTAAACACGACGAACATACATGAATTCAGTGCTATCGAGGATGAATCAGTGATTGATTATATCTACATCTATACTGGCATTGTGCTAGCTATCTTCATTCTCGGGATCACCAGATCGCTAGTTTTTTACAAAACATGCATGATGTGTAGCCAGCGCCTACATGATATGATGTTTAGTGCGTTAATTCGTACAGGAATGCGATTTTTTGATACTAATCCGAGCGGCAGGATTCTCAATCGATTTTCTAAAGACATGGGCGCGATCGATGAATTATTACCTAAAGCGATCCTGGATGCCGGTCAAATGAACATGTTGATGTTCGGGTCGCTTATAATGACCTGCGTGGTCAATCCTATTTTCTTGGTGCCTATCGTAATTATCAGTGGGATATTTTATTGGATCCGCAAGGTTTATCTCAAGACCAGCAAGAACGTTAAGCGACTGGACGGAATAAGTAAGTTTGCCTTTCTTACGTTTTTTTTATTTTAATCCTCAACATTTATCAAAATGTTAGTTATATATAAGATATTGCCGAATTGTCTGAACAAACTTTAACGGTATGTTTTGTGAGTTAAAATAAAAAAAAAAGTAATATAAATACAAATTCTAAAATGCTTTATTAAACAGTTATAGCAAAAATATGAAGTGTGTAAGAAACAATTTTTACACAAATTTGCATTTCGAAGTGTCTATATTAATATATGCTTGACATCAATATAATTTTAGAATTTATTACCTTTTTTGCGAGGAAACCTTCAGATGCCTGTATATTATTAAAATGAAAAATCTATTTTATTTTTGTACATTTTTCTACTTTTGATATTTTTTTCTTGCTTATTTATTCTTAAATTTTATTTTCTCAATTATATTTGTATTC